TTTTATTTAATTTAATTATTCTCTTATTTAGAATTAAGTTTCGTGTGGTACTTGTCAATAAAATAGCTTTCTTTTTCCTCCAAGAGGTCGTTGTTTTTGTTATTAAGTCTAGGATCATCCTGTATTTTGGTTGAAGTTATGTCCTGTCGATGGAGGTTCATTCTCAACCTAAGCATCATTTGGGTCTTTCCTATGTACCGGTTTTATTCTCTACACACGCTTCACCGATTGCTCTATTTTTTTCCCAACAGTATACCAAATTATTGAAGATTGCATAGCCTGCATCTTTATGACCAACCTAGAAGAATAATTTTTAGAAAAAAGCACAGAAAAACCTCTAGTATGGTATAGATACATCGACGATATTTTTTTCCTGTGGCCCTCTAATGAACAGAGTCTATTAGACTTCATAGAGGAATTCAACAACATCCTACCGTCCATCAAACTAACCTTACAGCCTCAAAGAAATCAACTTTTTAGATGTTACCCTTTACAAAGATGCCAACAACCAACTTCAAACCAAGGTTTACTCCAAACATACGGATAGCTTCATGTACCTACATTACCAAAGCTTCCATCCAATTCATCAGAAACGAAACCTACCTTTTAGTCAAGCTGTACGAATTTGCCGAATTTCTAGTAATATCTCTAATCGAGAAGTATCCCTTAAAAACTGTCGGACACAGTTTCTTAAGAGAGGATATCCCTTAATTTTGATTAACCAATCCTTTGACAAAGCGCGCTCTATTAATAACTAACTTTATCCCCCTCATCAATTTCAAAAAAACGATTAGTAAGCAATTTAAAATACTTGAAAACAGTATCGAAACCCGACTGATCTCAAATAATCCGCTTAAAATTTGTTACAGACTTAACAAAAATTTCAAAGATTTATTAGTACGATCCAACATTTCTATCTTAACAGCCCAACCTAGGGGCTGTTATAAATGCGGCAATAATTGTTCCGTTTGCCGACACCTCAATGTAACTTCTTTTATTCAATCTCATGTTAATCAAAAGAAATATTATATTAAAAGCCACCTATATAATTTATGCTATTTCCAGCAATTTTTGCGGGATTCAATATATTGGCCAAACTTCCGATACCTGGAAACGCAGATTTTACAACCACTTGAGTGACATACGGAATTTTAAAGATACGTCTGTAAGCATTCATTTTAACATAGATAAACATACTTTAAGTATTAAAATTCTTGCAAAAACATCACGCAATTTAAACAAACGATTACGTCATAAGGAAAGTTTCATAACGTTGCTAGCGATAACGAGTTCTGGGGGACTCAAAGAAAAAGCTTAATCATTTTTTCAAAAACTGCTTGCTAAATTCCAAGATGGATGCCGCTGCCAAGTGCACCATCTGCCTAACTACCTTTAACAGAAGACATAACTTCTGTAAACACAGAATGAAATTTCACAAACTAGACAGTAAAGCAGAAAAAGAAGAATATAAACAAATGAAAAAACTAAAGAAGAAAAAAGAAGCTGATAAACCAAAAAAGAAAATTCAAAAGAAGAAGAATATCGCCGAATTTGAATTGCCGCCCAGATGCATGCCTACTCCACCTACTATATGGGTCCCTCCATTTGAGGCCCGCCGGAGAACTACAGTCAACAGAGAAATTGAAGTCCCCGAGAAATCTAAAACTTCAATAGAAAAGAACGAGTTTGATCTCTTAAAATATGATCTCGAAGTAATAGCCTGTATAGATGAATGCAGACAAACCAAGACCAGTTTGATGAAGCATGGAATAAACTAATGCAAGAATACAACATATAAACCACTATTTTCGCAAATCCTAGTACAAGGATTTCAAAAAATCAACTTTTTATTTATTTTTTACTTTTTATTTTTTAAAAATCCCAGTATAGGGGTTTTCCAATTCACACCATTTGAAAAACCATCATTTTTTCTAATCCCAGTCTATGGATTACTTTTTATAGAAATTGAGACTAAGGCGCATGCGCCAAATACTGTATATATAGCCTGGATTATTTTGTTATATCATTTATGTACTCAACTCTTGCTGATGAAGGGCGGACAGCCCGAAACATGTTCCAGACCTAGATTATAATTTTTTAAACCATCTACACAGTGTTGTGAAGTTTGTTGCCGGGGATCCTCTATTTTTGATATTTTTCACGGATCGGTTCCTGCTTATCCCCGGATGTATCACTGGGATCCAGACTTGCCTGCACTGTATTAGGGAATCTTCCGCCCTGCCTTTTTCGAGTGTGGGGGTTTTATCGTCCTTTACTTGGATTTTCTTGTGAATATCTTACACATATATGTAAATCACCAAAAAAGTTATCGCAGCATAATGTCCAGTGTAATTATAACTAATACTGTGCAATAAACAGTTTAGATTAGATTTTCACAGGTCGCCATGTTCGTTGTTTTATTATTGTTCACGAAAACATCAAGGGATATAACTATTGCGAGGACCATTGTTTATTTCATATAGTTAATAAATATGTTTAATCAGAGACAATGTAAATAAAAAATTCAATAGCCTAATTAGGTATTGTTCTAGTTTGTGATCAGTACACATTGAAAACAGATTGAAGAGGGGGTCTCCCCGATGTACAGACGGTGTTCTCCCAATTCTATGATTTTGATCATCATGCAATTGGCTTATTCCCTATTCCAATCAAAAGGTTTATCGGGTGGACTGTTGTAGGTTAATGTCTGTCTGCACGTGCGCGTGACCATTTATATAACAGAGACCGGTAAGGACTTTTTACTGTTTATTCTTTCTTTTTTACGTCCCCAATGAGAGTCTTGTATTACCTGTACGTCTAAATAGCAACGCGCACTTGTGTGGCTATTTAGATGCACCGTGTGTCAAGCAAAATAATGATTTGTTCACAACTCGGATAATATTTTAAAGGTACATGTAATTACCAAGTTGTTTTGAACAGATATCGGCAACTCAAGTATCGGCAAAATGGCCGTGTATCGTACGATACCGATTTCTCCCGATAGGCCACTTATCAACCAGTTACCGATGTTCAAACAGATTATCGGACCATCACTAGTTTTGTGGCAGTAATCAGGGGTTTTCGAAGTGTATTCTGATGGTTGTAAGTGAATTCTGGTGATTGTAAATGAATTCCGGTGATTAGTCGGGCCCATTCTCTAGTCTAATCCAAATACACATGAATTCCGCCAATTATCAAACATGTACCAAACTTATGTTTTAAATTGAATAGAAAGGCTTTTGACTTGGCCTTTGAAAAGTGTGTAAATATAGATTCTAAAGTATCCGTAATAAATTGAATATCAAAACACGCTTCTCACCTGTGCATGGCACTATATTTACCTTGTGTGGAGGACAGGTAACACCCCCCGGGAATTCCTTTGTCACATTCTCTCTATATTTACACTAAAAATTATACATAGACTTTATTTATAGAAATTGTCTTCAATTTTTTAGGTGATTAAATACACCAGACAACAAGCAGTGTGTGTTTGAGCCACAAAAATATTTACCATGTGTGCCGTATGGCACTCCGTGGTTACGGTAAAATTAGGTCACATGACTCGGGGGGGGGGGGGGGCTAATTTATTGTCCCCCGCCTTTCGAAGAAAGCAGGGGACTATTAAAATGTGTTCGTCCGTCTCTGTCCGTCCGTCTGTCTGTCCGTCACACTTTTTGGGACACAATAACTCTCCTTCTAATTGACCTACAATGTTCAAACTTGGTGTAGGTGTTTATTAGGTCAATGCCTTGATGGAGTTCGAAGATGAGCATTTTCTGCTTCGGGTAAGCAGAGATAAACAATTTGATTGGTTGATGCTTTGGGATGCGATAACTTTAGTTCTAATTAAGTGAGAGTGACGAAACTTGGTTTATAGTTTCATTACATCAATACCTTGACTAAGTTCGATAATGAGCATTTTCTGCTCAGGGTAAGCAGAAAGCAGAGTGATAAGCAATTTGATTGGCCGAGACTTTGGAACACAATAACTCTCAATCTAATTGAGCTAAAATGTTTAAACTTGGTGTAGGTGTTTATGAGGTCAATCCCTTGATAGAGTGCGAAGATGAGCATTTTCCTCTTATGGTAAGTACATGTAGAGATAAGCAATTTGATTGGTTGATGCTTTTGGGACACGATGACTTAAGTTCTGGGAGTTATGAAACTTGGTGTATAGTTTCATTACATCAATACCTTGACTAAGTTCGATGATGAGAATTTCTGCTTAGGCTAAGGAGCAATAAGCATTTTGATTGGTCAAGACTTTGGAACATAACAACTCTGCTTCTAATTGAGGTAGAATGTTTAAACTTGATGTAGATGATTGTCTTGACTAAGTTCAATGATTAACAAATCGAGCTAAAGCTAAGCAGAGATAAGCAATTTCCTTGGTCGATGCTTTGGGACAAGATAACTTTGATTCTATCTATAGAGAGTGATGAGACTTAGTGTATAGTTGATAATCAGTTTGATTGCTCGATACTTTTGAAAAAAAATAGATGTGCTATTAATTAATATGTGTCATCTATTTATTTGGGGATTTCGGCGGGGCACATCAGCCTCACTGTTGGCTTGTTTAGATATTTATGTGTAGATACTTCATCAGGGTATAGTAGGACGTTAAACCCCATTTCATTTCATCAGGGTATAAACTAGTGTCAAACGGATGAAAACATGCATAGATTGTGTGAAATTTATAGTTATAAAATTGGCTGTAATTTGACTTTACAACTTTCTGAGTAACTGTACTGTACGACAACGCTAAGTGTAGATATTGCAAATGGTGGTTTTTCGCGGTATTTCCGTGGTTATTCTTGCATTTGGAAAAGGGTAATTAAATATATGTGAAGTGCTAACGTGAGTATTGTGGTTTTAAGTCAATTTACTGAACATCAAGTAAAATTTACTTGATACCGGTCAGACTTAAGAATCGCCTGTCGGCAACAAGTAGACAGACGAACATTTTGAGCCATGTCACAACCTATGCTTGTATTTTTCAGGACAATATAACTATACCATTTGATAACCAGACAACAGTGTCACTTGGAGAATGTGGCAATGAAACCAGCACATCACTTAACTTGGATTTAAATCTTAACGGGACGACATTGAGTCTAAATTTCGCGGAAGACGCTAATAAAAGTGTTTTGTTAACTCCAGTATTCAGAGCAGACAGACTTTTTGATAATGATAACAGTGAGTTGTTTCATTATTATTAATGCTTATAAAGATATGATGAATTAAAAACTTACCAGCATTTGGCATCCTTTGCAAACAAAATAAACCGGAGATGGAGTCCCTCAGATGGGACAAAAAGCCAAGGTTCTGATTACACATTGGAATACATAAAAGAACCCACCCCTTGACAATTGGAATTCGAAATAAGAGTAGGCAGTAGCGCCACTGCCCTTGCAAAATTTCCCGCATATCACACTGTTGGACATAAGCAAGTCTTATTTTGCCTAGTCAGTGCAGAAAAGTAGGATGTTAAACTCCATTTCATATAACTACAATTAAAATTTTTTTTTTTTTTAATGAAATATTAGATGATCAATTTTGAGTACATTTTAGCATTGATTAGACCATGAAAAATTAGATATTGTCTAAAAAATGTTGTTTAAGAGTTCGTCTTTATACAAAACCCGACTAAGAATCAAGAATGTAAGCTTAAATGTGTGTCCAATAGCCGTAGATTGACTAGATAATTGCCCTTAGTGATGGTCCGATATGGCTACTATCGGTTTACCATCTATCTATACTAATATTTGTGACTGTCGTTTATATTTCTGTTTGTCTGTCTGTCTGTCTGTTTGTTCAGGGTTGGCGGCTACACTAGGTCTGCCCCGAGTCTGAAATTTGGGGTATAGGGGTAGCTCGGACCGGGGAGTAACATAGGCCAGGTGGCGTTAGTCTACCACTTCCGATTTCGGGGTTATGACCCCCGAGCGAAGCCGGGCATTCTAATAGTATCAGATATTGACAGTGAAATATATCGGCCGATACAGATACAATTACCGATAGTGGTGGATATAAAACTATTGCACATTAAAATGTCTCGAATGTCATGATAATCGATGTAGTCATAATTTTTATCCGATTTAAAAAAACGTATTATTATATAACCGTTACACCCTAAGGACGGCTGAGTTCGAATTTTGTGAAAATGGGCCCAAAATTGACAGACAAAATGGCCGCCGTTCATTCTCAAATAACGTAAAAATATGGTATATCAAGGTTGTGGACCCTATAGAGGTCACAATTTTTATACGCCCACATTTTCATGTGGACGTATTATGCGTCCGTCCGTCCGTCCACAATTTGTTTGTGGACACTCTACAGGTCACAATTCTTATCTGATTTTAACGAAACTTGAAATATAGGTGTATCTCCAAAAGATCTCGGCTGCTTTCGATATTGGCATGTATTGGATCGAAACTTCATGGATTATGGCCCCTGTTTGTACGAAAAATCACGTTTTTGGCTTGTGGACCCTATAGACGTCACAATTTTTATCCGATTTTGTTGAAACTTGAAATGTAAGTTTATAACCAAAAGATCTCGGTTCCTTTCGATATTCGCGCATATCGGACCGTAACTTCCTGAATTATGGCCCCTGATTGTACGCAAAATCGCGGTTTTAGCTTGTGGACCCTATAGAGGTCATAATTTTTATCCGATTTAAAAAAAACGTATTATTATATCACCGTTACACCCTAAGGACGGCTAAGTTCGAATTTTGTGAAAATCGGCCCAAAACTGACAGACAAAATGGCCGCCGTTCGTTCTCAAATAGCGTAAAAATATGGTATATCAAGGTTGTGGACCGTATAGAGGTCACAATTTTCATCCGATTTTGTTGAAACTTGAAATGTAAGTTTATAACCCAAAGATCTCAGTTCCTTTCGATATTCGCGCATATCGGACCGTAACCTGAATTATGGCCCCTGATTGTACGGAAAATCGCGTTTTTAGCTTGTGGACCGTATAGAGGTCATAATTTTTATCCGATTTAAAAAATCATATTATTATATCACCGTTACACCCTAAGGACGGTTGAGTTCGAATTTCGTGAAAATCGGCCCAAAATTGACAGACAAATTGGCCGCTGTTCGTTCTCAAATAGCGTAAAAATATGGTATATCAAAGTTGTGGATCCTATAGAGGTCACAATTTTCATCCGATTTTGTTGAAACTTGAAATATAAGTTTATAACCCAAAGATGTCTGTTCCTTTCGATATTTGCGCATATCAGACCGTAACTTCCTGAATTATGGCCCCTGATTGTACGAAAAATCGCGTTTTTAGCTTGTGGACCCTATAGAGGTCATAATTTTTATACGCCCACATGAGGCGAGGAAGTCTATTGATTTTCAGCAATTTCCGATAATTACTGCCAGAGTTATGGCCCTTGATCACTTCAAAAAATCTTGTGGACGCTCTAGAGGCAAAAGTTAATATCCGATTGACTTTAAATTTATACACAGTGTTTAAGGTCATGAGACGAAGAATCCTATTGATTTTCAGCGATTTCCGATAATTACAGCCAGAGTTATGGCCCTTGATCACTTCAATAAACCTTGTGGATGCTCTAGAGGCGAAAGTTAATATCTGATTGACTTTAAATTTATAAACAGTGTTTGAGGTCACGAGGCGAAGAATCCTATTGATCTTCAAAGATTTCTGATAATTACTGCCAAAGTTATGGCCCTTGATCACTTCAATAAACCTTGTGGATGCTCTCGAGGCGAAAGTTAATATCTGATTGACTTTAAATTTATAAACAGTGTTTGAGGTCACGAGGCGAAGAATCCTATTGATCTTCAAAGATTTCTGATAATTACTGCCAAAGTTATGGCCCTTGATCAATTTGAAAAATCTTGTGGACGCTCTAGAGGCCAAAGTTAATATCCGATTGACTTCAGATTGATACACAGAGTTTAAGATATTGAGACGAACAAGTATATTGATTTTCAATGAATTTTTAAGACTTGGAACAGCTAAATCCATGATACAGTATTAAAAGTTTTGTATACAAAATGTTAGCATGGGGCAGAACTTTATAAAAACCAAACAAATTCTAATGGTTTTCTGAGTTGTTGCTCTTAATCAGATTTTAGTGTATTATAAATGTTTCATTACTGAAAAAAGTAAAAATATGCGACAACTCTTGTTGACTGCCCTGACGATTTAGCTGCTGTGGGTGTATGTTTCGTTGCCTGGCAACCTATCTTTATCCGATTTAAAAAAACAAATTATTATATCACCGTTACACCCTAAGGATGGCTGAGTTCGAATTTCGTGAAAATCGGCCCAAAACTGACAGAGAAAATGGTCGCCCTTCATTCTCAAATAGCGTAAAGATATGGTATATCAAAGTTGTTGACCCTATGGAGGTCACAATTTTAATCTGATTTTGTTGAAACTTGAAATGTAAGTTTATAACCCAAAGATCTTGGTTCTTTTCGATATTCGCGCATAGCGTAAAAGTATGGTACATCAAGGTTGTGGACCCTATAGAGGTCACAATTTTTATCCGAATTTGTTGAAACTTGAAATATAAGTTTATAACCCAAAGATCTCGGTTCCTTTCGATATTCGTGCATATCGGACTGTAACTTCCTGAATTATGGCCCCTGATTGTACGAAAAAATCACATTTTTGGCTTGTGGACCCTATAGAGATCATAATTTTTATTCGATTTAAAAAAACGTATTATTATATCACTGTTAGACCCTAACAAAATGGCCGTCGTTCGTTCTCAAATAACGTAAAAATATGGTATATCAAGGTTGTGGACCCTATAGAGGTCACAATTTTTATCCGATTTTTTTGAAGCTTGAAATGCAAGTTTATAACCTAAAGATCTCGATTCCTTTCGATATTCGCGCATATCGGACTGAAACTGTTGGTATTGTATGCTGTCACGTTGATGATTTTTTACATGGTGGTACAGAGGTGTTTAATAAAATGATGGTAAAATTAACAGAGAGATTTAGAGCTGGTAAAGAAGAGAATACAGAGTTTTGTTACATTGGATTCAGGTTTCTCCAAAATCAAAATGGTATAGTATTAGATCATTCAGATTTCATCGAGAAATTAGAATATACACCTCTTCATACGCAAAGAGCCAGAAATAAAGATGATATATTGACAAATGACGAACAAACAATATACAGAAAAACAATAGGCCAATTAAATTGGGTTGTACAAGTTTCACGACCTGATATGGCCTTTGAACAAATTGATTTGAGCACCAAATTACAACAAGCAACAGTTGGTGATTTGAACCGTGCAAATAAAGCTATAAATAGACTAAAAGATGTAAAGACACAAATATCATTTAGGTCATTTGCACTTAACCCAGAAAAATGGGAAATACATGTTTATAGTGACGCATCTTTAAATAATATAAATGATGGAACTGGAAGTGTTGGTGGTCATATTATTCTTTTATATGATAGATCACTGGATATATACAGTCCAGTAGTCTGGCAGGCTAACAAAATTAAACGAGTGGTGAGATCAACCATAGCAGCAGAAGCACTGAGTTTAGAGGAAGGTTTGGAATCTGCAATATATTACAGGAAAATGCTTGAAGATATTTTAAATTTAAAACCTCAAACTGTAAAAGTAATTGGATATACAGATAATAAAAGTTTAATAGAATCCCTCGGAAGTACAAAAATGTGTGATGATAAGAGGTTACGGATTGATATTGCATCCATGAAAGAAATGATGGAACAAAACATTTATGCCAAGTGGTGTGAAGGATGTAAACAACTTGCAAACTGTATGACCAAAAAGGGAGTGTCTGGATTGACTTTACTTAATGTTTTGTGTTTTGGTGAAATTGACATTTAAGTGACTCAAGTGAACTAATATTTAAAAACTTGTACTTATGTTTTCTATTTAAATGTAAGGGGCAGAATAATCCCCCGTCCTGAGGATAGTCTAATCCAGTGAGGGTCGTAATTTTGTTATTTTTTTTTTTTTTTCCATAACTAGGTATGTAAGGGGCAGAATAATCCCCAGACCGGAGGACAGTCTAATCCAATGATGGTCTTGTTAATTTTGTAATCTAAAAACAAAGAAAAAAAAAGGAGGCAATGTTAATGTTCTTTATTTCACCTTTTTATAATTATACTTTCATTTTACATGTACCTTTATCACTTTACTTTCACTTTGTTTATACCGGA